CGTGAGTGGTGGCAAGGAAACACACACACGATTGACTAGAAGCAACGGCATACAAACATGGCGGCATCAACAAATGCCTAGGTACCAATGGCAACGCAGGAGCAAGCGGAGGCCGGATCTACATCCGGTGAGCTCCAAGGGCATGGAGAATGCCAGTTAACGTCCGCCACAGCTCCCGGACCACCAGCGTACTTGCGCCGATCGCCGCGGCTCCAGATCCAGCGCGCAAATGCCGCTTCAAGCTCCAGACAGCCTCGTCCAGCTGTCCCGCAGCAGCAGCGCCACCCTCCGCGAGCGCAGCCAGCACGGGCGCCAGCAGCACGGCGAGCTGGTCCGCCGCATCCAAGCATGTCTCGCGCGGACGGTCGCGAAACGTCTCAGGAGAGATCACAGGGAGGGAGGAGTGAGCAAGGACCTGTATCAGCAGCAACGCGTGGAGACTCTCGGCGAGGCGGTGGAGCTGCCCGAGAGTCGATTCGGGAACACGCGTCTGCGGAGGCTGAAGCGCCTCCGCTAGGAATTGGAGCGGCACATCAGCTCCATACTGAGCCGCCGCTACGCCACCACCCGCGGCCACAAACTCCACCCCCGCAACAGGCGGAACCGTCGGCAGATGCAGACGAGAGCCGGGAGCTGGCGCCGCTACGGAGGGAGAGGGAGCAGACGGGTCGTGGACAGGGGGAGGAAGTTGAGCGGCCGGTGGAGGGACCACAGGAGGCACATGCGGACGAGGAGCGACGCGCGCCGGCGCAGCCCGCGGCGACCTGCTCTGGCTCTGCGCCGCCCTCTCCTCGCGAACAGCCCGGGACACTTCCCGCTGAAGATCGGCCATCGTCACCGGCGGGCGGTACCCCCCACCGCGCCCGCGGGGACCCCTCCAGTCCACCTGACCACCTGGGCGAGCAGGCCAGTCACGCTGCTGCTGGTGTCGCCGAGGAGAATCGCGACGGCGACGAGACGACTTGCGATCCTGGTGAGGTGGGGGGGAATGTGGGCGAGACGATCGGCGACCAGGCGACGGCGGGCGCACCGGCTGACCAGCCGGGTCCACTGTCGCAGCAACAGGCGCGGATTGCGCCGCCGCTATCGGCGCAACCGACGGAGCCGGGCCGCCAGTGGTGGCGGACGCCGCATTCGTCGACGAAACAGAAGCCGGTGCCGGCGCGTCGGGGACAGAAGCAGGCGGAACAACGGGCGCCCCGGATACAAGAGCAGCCGCATGAACAGACTGGCCATCTCCCAACACGGCAAGGGGATCCGCGGGTGAGTGGGGAAGAGTCCTTTCAGCGTCTGTTGTCGAGGGCGTCGGAGCCGGCGATACAGGAGGCTCCGTCGGCATGGTCGCCTTTCCGGGCCCCGACTGAGGCTGGGCGACCACAGCCGACCAGGCGGCAGCGCGCACTGGCGATGGCTCAGATGCACCGGCAATCACCATCCGGAGTACGGGGATGCAGCGGGGCCAGGAGGCAGGTTACGAGCGGAGCAGGCGGAGGTCTGGAAAACGGGTATCAAGCAGCGGGGCGTAGGGCTTTAAGGGCTCTGGAGGCAACTAATGAGGAATCTGAAGACGACGATATAAGGGACCCACCTTATAGGGAAGAATCCCTCCCTCCAAGCGAAGACGAGGGGATCGAGGACGAAGGCAGTACACGGGAGGCAGCAGGAAGAGGAGCAGCGCGGGTAGGGCTCTTGGCCACTCAAGCAGCACAGGCGGCTCAGCGACCGTCCGATGCCAATCGAACGGGTGAAATTCCAACCCCAATCTTGCCAGGGCAGACGGGTCGCGCTCGACGAAATCGGACCGCTACTACCAATGTCGCGACGCGCCAAACCACTCCGACACCCCGCTATTTTTCCCCTGACGAACTGGCAAAGAGAGCAGACCTGTTCGCAACAATCTCGAGCTGGGACATCGCGGCACTCTGCGACAGTCGCCAGCCTTCGCTGACACGTCGTTTACCGCCTAATCTGTGCCAACTGTTCTCGCTGGCGCTTCTGACACCGTTACTCCACCTATCGCGAAACCCTGAATCCGAGGAGGGTTGGCGCCTGCTGCTGTTTCTCCCGCGCCTAACACTTCGCCAGACCTCGCCACAACGACCGAATTGGCCGTGGGTCAAAGCCCAGCTCCGAGCCTTTCAGCGTGGCGAATGGGGGCAGCTATACCAGAACGCGGTCGATGCGGTCAACACACCCCCACCGCCTCGACACCAGCCTGACACGACGGGAGTCATCAGCCGAGCGGAGGGCCTGGCGAAACGTGGCAGCCTACGCAGGGCCGTGCTGGCCCTGGAGTCAACACCTGTCTGCACCCCGAGCCAAGAAGTATTAGAAGAGCTGCGACAAAAGCACCCGCCAGCACCTCCCGAGGCAGTGACCTGGCCTGGGCCACCAGAGTCAAAACTTTCCATCACCCATGCTGAGTTCTCCAAGCTTCTTGGAAGGTGCGAGAACGGGGTAGGGGCCGGACCTTCGGGTACGACATTTGAGCACCTACGCGATGCGGCGATCACCAACGGAATGGTTAGCACCCATCTGCACGCCTTGGTCAATACCATTCTCGGAGGGAATTTGCCAGGCCCGGTCGCAAAAATCCTGACCGCGTCACGGCTCTTAGCTCTGGCCAAGCCTGGGGGAGGAGCCCGGCCAATTGCGATAGGCGAATGCTTGACAAGGCTGACGGCCAAGGCAGCTCTGATAGCCATGGGAGAAGCTGCACGCGAACATTTCCTGCCAATTCAGTACGGCGTGGCAGTGCCAGGTGGAGCTGAGGCAGTAATACACACAGCCAGGGCATTCTTGGATGCCCGTCCCAACAGCCTGGTCCTGCAAGCCGATATATCGAACGCATTCAACAGCATTTCGCGAGATGCCATCGCCACTGCGTTACAGGTGCCCGGACTCTCGCCACTACAGCCATTTGTAAAATTGACGTACGGTAACCCGTCGCAGCTTTTCCTCGACTCTGATTTCAACAGCGAACCACTGCAAAGTGAACGCGGCGTTCGGCAGGGTGATCCACTGGGCCTGTTACTGTTTGCAGCAGGAATACATCCCACGCTCCGCGAGATTACAGAGGCACACCCCAACGTGCTCTGCTTGGCATACGCGGACGATGTCACTTTCCTGGGTAACACCTCGTGCACTGTAGCAGCATTCACAGACTTCACAGCCAAGCTGGCACGCCTGGGCCTGACGCATTATCCGCAGAAATGTGCGGCATGGAGCTCGACGACAGTCACACAAGCGCAACTCCCGCCTGGGGTGCCAATTTCAAAGGATGGGGTACGACTCCTTGGTATCTACGTGGGGACGGACGCCGGAGCAGCCAAATTCCTAACCGAACAGCTAGCCGAGATGACAAAGCCGCTGCCACTAATAGAACAGACTGACCCCCAAGTAGCCGCGCTTCTACTCACGCGATGTATCTCTAGACGAGTAGCCTACCTCATCAGAACGACACCGCTCCACCTACTCCCCCGCGACACGTGGAGCCAGTGGGGTCGGGACCTGCTCACTACCCTACTCACCTCCTGCGACATCCGCATGCCAACTTGCCGCACTGAGCAAGCACGTGTGTGGGAGCAGGCGTCGCTGCCCACATCCCTAGGAGGCATCGGCATCACAGACCCGCTCGTTGAAGGAATCTACGGTTTTTTAGCTAGTTTCACCGAGGCGGCGCTATTCCTGTCCTCCCTGGCGCTAGCACCAGAGAACGCCTTGATGATCGCTCAGAACCACATGCTGCTGCCAAGGGATGACAGCACGCCGATGCATTCCTGGCTCAAGGAGTGCGAAGCAAGTCTGCCACTAGACGCACGCGAGATCCTGGAGAAGGAGCGGCTGGAGCGATCGGATATTAGGCTGCAACATGTGCTCGGGCTAAAGGTACACGGAAGCAGATATGCGGTACAGGTCCAGGCAACCAGGCGCATGCGGTTGAACCCACTGTCAGGCCAGACGCAGCGTTTGTTTTCGCTGACCGGGTATGGCACCGGCGATTGGCTGACCGCGATCCCCATTGAGCCCACCAGACGGATAGGCCCCGTACACTTCGCCAACGCCGTTCGATTCCGCTTGGCCCTCCCCTTTTCGACCCCTAAGAACTGCGACTGTGCGGACAAGACCGCCATCACCGATCCCCGCCTACCGAACCATCTCCTCCGCTGCGGTTTGGGCAAACACCGCATCAACACCCACAACGAGCTACGGGATGCGTGCATTAGCATGGCGCAGCACGCAGGTTTCATTGTTCACGGCGAGTCGGCCGCCCATTGCCCTATCGAGGAACAAACCGCCGACTTTACAATGACGGATAGAAGCAGTGGGGCGGTTTATGTCTATGATGTCACCATCACGGACCCCATCAGCACGAGAGACCCAGAGGCGCAGAAGGGCAGAGGATGGGCGGCACGGGAATAAGCCGATAAGAAAATCCAGCATTACGCCAACCGGCCAGAGACGGTTGGCTTCTTCCCACTGGCAGTTGACACCTATGGTTGCCCATGCGCGGAAGTACCAGCCTTCCTGAAGCTCCTTGCAGACACGGCGGCTCGGCGCCACTTTAACGCCGACTCCAAATCCTTTTATGCCGCCAAGTTCCTGCACCAGTTTCGGCAACGATGGTCAGTGGCCCTCCAAAGGGCCCAATCAGTGGGTCTTCTACTCAAGTTGGGCGAGGCAGCAGCAGCAGAGAACCCGCCTGTAGGCGGTATTGGACAAGAGTTACGCCTAGGGGACTGTTTTGCTGTGGTAGAGCCCCTTCTAGAGCTCTAGGGGAATAGTGGGTATGATTGGTGCTTTGTTTGTTTGTCTGTTACATCCTTACACTGCATACCTGTACCTAGCTGCTATATCAATACAAGGACCATTAGAGAGAGAGAACCTCCAAAACCGGCGTGAGTTGTGGCAAGGGTCTCCAGTGACAAGTTTCATAAGAGCATTTTATACAACATGCAGTGGTAGAGACCTGTAGCAAATGCAACACCCCCGGGCGTGCCATGGGGAAGCCCAAGGCTAAGCCAGCTACCAAGGGGGATGGCAAAGGGGACAAACCGGCTACTCGGAGAGTATCCAGCACAGCCTCCCGTCCATCCAGCGTAGGACGGATGCGGCTGCTGATACAAGACCAAGAGGGGCCCCCTGAGCAGACTCAGCAAGCCGCAACATTGCCCCAGGACCGGGCCCGAGCGCAGCACCAGGGGCGCCCTGGACAAGCCCGATCAGGGGGAGATAGTGTAGCATCTCCCTTGCTGCGGACACCGCCGCCGACTGCTCCGATGGCATCATCCCCCCAACCTCCACACCCTGCCGTGCCAGACACACGTGGAGTTGGTCCAGCACGTAGGACAACAGCATCAAACACGTCCCCACGTGCATTACGCGCTGCTCGACGTGGAAACGAGTCGCAGCCACACGAGCAGCAACGTGAGGAGCTGGTGGGACGGGTGGGAATAACAGCACCTGGGGAGGCGGCGGGGGAACAGGAGTCGGTGGAGGGCAAGGCGGCTGCGGCCGCGGTGGCAGGGGGAAGTGGCGCAATGGGGACTGAGTCAGAGGCAGCTGTGGCGGTTGAGGCTGCGGCTGCTACGGGGCTGGAGGGGGTTGCTGCTGAGGCGACTGAGATGGTGGCTGCTGCTGAGCTTGGCGGGCCTGACGCTGCCTCTGGCGGCGGCTCAGCCTCACCCTCTGCCATCCCCCAGGCGTGGCAACCAGAGGAGCCGAGACCACCAGTGGCTCAGGAACGGACCGAGGCGGTGGAGCTGGCGGCTGTCAGAACATATCTATAGCTTATACTGCTGTGTAGGCTGTAGTGGGGTATCCCATAGGGGGTACAACCCAGTTAGGGTTTCATATTTGTACTGCTTTCATTCATAGTTCATTCATTCCTGCTTACTCATTTCACATGGTATAGAGCGGGTTCCCTGTGGAACTCTGCCTAGGGCCCACCGAAGCGCGCCCCGAGGCGCGCTCAACTTTTTTTTTCCGCTATCGAGCGACCCTCCGTGTCGCCTCCCTCCCACACGCGGCCCAGCCGCCCGCTAAGTCGCGGCCCCAGCCGCCCGCTACGATCGCGGCCCCAGCCGCCTGCTCGACACGGCCCCCAGCCGCCTACTCGACGCGGCCCTGCCGCCCGCTACGCCGCGGCTACCGCCTACTACGACCGCGGCCCCGGCCGCCTGCTACGACCGCGGCCCCCCAGCCGCCTGTTCGACCGCGGCCCCGCCGCCCGCTCCTGTCGCGGCCCCCAGCCGCCTACTCGACGCGGCCCCCAGCCGCCTGCTTGACGCGGCCCTGCCGCCCGCTACGCCGCGGCCGCCGCCTGCTACGACCGCGGCCCCGGCCGCCTGCTACGACCGCGGCCCCAGCCGCCTGTTCGACCACGGCCCCGCCGCCCGCTCCTGTCGCGGCCCCCAGCCGCCTGCTCGACGCAGCCCCCGGCCGCCTGCTCGACGCGGCCCTACCGCCCGCTACACCGCGGCCGCCGCCCACTACGATCGCGGCCCCGGCCGCCTGCTACGACCGCGGCCCCAGCCGCCTGTTCGACCGCGGCCCCGCCGCCCGCTCCTGTCGCGGCCCCGGCTGCCTGCTCGCACGGCCTCGCCGCCCGCTACTACCGCGGCCCCGGCCGCCTGCTCGACCGCGCCCCCCCCCCCCCCCCCCCCCCCCTCCCCCCCCCCCCCCTACTACCGGGAGCCGAGCCGCCCTGCAGCCGAGCCGCCCGGGAGCCGAGCCGCCCTGCACCCGAGCCGCCCTGTCGCCGAGCCGCCCAGGAGCCGAGCCGCCCTGCCCCCGAGCTGCCCTACCGCCGAGCCGCCCGGGAGCCGAGCCGCCCTGCGCCCGAGCCGCCCAGCACCCGAGCCGCCAGGTCGCTGAGCCGCCTTTCTGCATACCTACTCGACCTGCCCTGCCTGGTGAGCACAGTCCCACTGCCACTGCGAGCTCTTTCCCTACTGCTTGCACTGCGTCGCTGTCGTCGCCATGGCTACCCCTAGTGTCCTAGCTTTTGACGCTGAGGGTCGCGCCATTGATTTTGAGGTCTGGTTAGACGACCTGCAGCTGTTCTTACAGTGCGACAGGGCTGACGACCTTTCTCTCTTTGACCTCACCTCTGGCGCCTCTCCTGCTCCTGCTGCTGATGCTGATCCCGCTGTCCGCTCTAAGTGGGCCACCCGCGATGCTGCTGCACGTCTTGCTGTGCGTCGCCACCTCCCTACCTCTGAGCGTGCGCACTTTAGTCAGTACAAGAGTGCTCAGACCTTGTACGACGCTGTAGTTGCGCGCTACTCCTCCCCTGCCACTGCTGCACTGAGCCGTCTCATGCTTCCCTACCTCTTTCCTGACCTCTCTGCCTTTCCCACTGTCGCTGACCTCATTACGCACCTCCGCACTAGTGACACTCGCTACCGCGCCGCCCTTCCTGCTGAGTTCTGCGCTAAGAACCCCCCCCCCATGTACATCGCTCTCTACTACGTAGTCGCACGCCTCCCTGACTCCCTTCGCGTCGTCAGGGACCACTTTCTCGCAGTCTGTCCCACCACTCTCACCGTCGACCTCCTCGAGAAGGCCCTCCTTGCAGCGGAGAAGAGCATAGTCGCTGTAGGTGCTTCTCGTGGTGACCCTCGCACCCCCATCTTTGAGGGGTGCTCTCCTTCCCCCTTGCTGCCCTCTGTTGCCTCTGCTGCTGCTGCCGACCTGCTTGGTCTTGAGTCGGTCGGCGCGGCGTCTGCCCCTAGTGGGAGACGTCGCTCCAGCAAGGGCAAGGGGGGCAAGGGCGCGGGTGGAGCTGGAGGGGGCGGTGGCGGTGGCGGCGGTGGCGGCGGAGGGAGTGGGGGTGGCGGCGGGGCTAGTGGCGGGGGTGGTGGTGGTGGTGGCGGCAGCAGCGGCGGAGACGGTGGTGGTGGTGCCAGCGGTGGTGGTGGAGGCAGCGGCGGAGGTGGAGGCGGCGGAGGTGGAGGCAGTGGAGGCGGCAGCGGAGGAGGCAGTAGTGGTGGAGGAGGTGGAGCTGGTCGGGGTGGTACCCAGCAGCGTAGCGGCGGTGGTGGTGGCCAGCGCTCGCACCGGCAGCAGCAGCAGCGCTCGCGGGACATCCCTTCGCCTCAGCAGCTTCGTGAGTGGTACGCTGGGCGTCAGAGGGGTGGGGATACTGGTCCCTGCACCTACGTTCTTCGTTCCGGCGACCGCGCGGGTGAGCAGTGTGGGGGTGCCCACGCCACCCAGCGCTGCTTTGGCCGCCTGACGGACGCTTGGCGTCAGCAGTTCCCTGGGGCTAGTGAGATCCCTCGCTGGGATGAGCTTCTCAGGGCTGGTGTAGCGATCTTTGATCTTGATTTTGATGCTATCCTTACTGCTATGTATGTTGTGGATTATAGTGAGGAGAATGAGGGTTACCGGTGTTTTCAGCCCGACCCGGGCATTGGTAGTGCTGCGCTAGGTGCTTGTGAGGCTGCTGCTCTAGGTGCCAGTGCGTCTGCGCTCTCAGGTACTGGTGAGACTGCGCTCTCAGGTACTGAGTCGTCCTCGTCCTCCCTCACTTTCACACTTGACTCCGGAGCTTCTCGCTCCTTCTTTCGAGACCGCACTACCCTTTCGCCGCTCGCCAGGCCGGTTGCGGTCTCCCTTGCTGACCCCTATGGGGGTCCTGTCCTGTCTCACTTCTCCACTGTCCTCCCGTGTCCGGCTGCCCCTTCGGGCACCCTGTCGGGTCTGTACCTTCCCTCGTTCTCTACGAACTTGGTGAGTGGAGCGGACCTGCAGGATGGGGGTGTTCACCAGTTCACTCCTGCGCGTCAGAGGGTGACCCACTGCACGGAGGCTCGCACAGGCCGACACCTGGCCACGTTCTCACGTCGGCCGGGGTCGAGTCTCTACACCCTGACCGTTGAGTCTCCTCCTGTCCCTGCGTCTGGTCAGGTGGCTGCGTTGGGTCAGGTACTTGCTGATTCGTCCCGGTCAGGTCCTGAGTCTGCCCCTTGTTCTTGTCGCCTCCTGTCTCACGAGACTCTCCTGTGGCACCACCGTCTTGGCCACCCCTCCTTGCCCCGTCTTCGGAGCATGGCTTCCCGTGTCCTTGTCTCTGGTCTTCCCCAGTCTCTCCCTCCTCTCCCCTCCGGGCCAGGACCTTCCTGTGTCCCCTGTGTCGAGGGTCGCCTCCGGGCTACTCCTCACTCCTCCCACTTCCCCCCGACAGAGGCTCCCCTGCAGACGCTTCACATGGATGTGTGGGGCCCAGCCCCCGTCCGTGGGCAGGGTTACGAGCGCTACTTCCTGTTGGTGGTTGACGACTACTCGCGTTACACCACAGTCCTCCCCTTGCGCAGCAAGGGTGCGGTCACTGAGGTTCTGATCGACTGGATCTGCGAGGCTCGTCTCCAGCTCAGGAAGAGCTTCGGCTCGGACTTTCCTGTTCTGCGTCTGCACTCTGACAGAGGCGGAGAGTTCTCTTCTCGCCTTCTGCGAGACTACTGTCGTGCACGGGGGATCCGCCAGACCTTCACGCTTCCGGACTCACCACAGCAAAATGGGATTGCTGAGCGCCGCATTGGCATGGTCATGGATGTCGCTCGTACGTCCATGATGCATGCGGCTGCCCCCCATTTTCTGTGGCCGTTTGCGGTGAGGTACGCGGCGCATCAGCTCAACCTTCACCCCCGGGTCTCTCGGCCAGCGATGTCCCCAGCCTTGCTGTGGACGGGGAAGGTTGGCGATGCGTCTGTGTTCCGTGTCTGGGGATCTCGGGCGTTTGTCCGCGACTTGTCTGCGGACAAGCTGTCCCCTCGTGCTGCTCCCTGTGTCTTCCTTGGCTTCCCCACTGACGCCCCAGGGTGGCAGTTTTACCACCCCTCCTCTCGTCGTGTTCTGTCCTCCCAGGACGTCACGTTCGACGAGTCAGTCCCCTTCTACCGTCTCTTCCCCTACCGCACTCCTTCCCTCCCCCCTCCCCCGGACTTCCTTGTGCCGGTTCCCCCCCCGGTAGACCCCCTCCCCCCTCAGGTTCCTGCCCCCTCAGGTGTGTCCCAGGTAGACGCCGTTGACCCGGTCGAGGTTACTGGTGACTCTGGTGCTGCTGCGGGTGCTGAGCCTGGGGGTGCTGACTCTGGGGGTGCTGTGCGCGGGGGTGCTGAGCCTGGGGGTGCTACTGCTGGGGGTGCTGGGCCTGAGGGTGCTACTGCGGAGGGTGCGGAGCCTGGGGGTGCTGAGCCGGGGGGTGCTGTGCCTGGAGGTGCTGGGTCTGGGGGTGCTGGGTCGGGAGCTGCTGAGCCTGGGGGTGCTGAGCTGGGAGCTGCTGAGCCTGGGGGTGCTGCGTCTGGAGCTGCTGAGCCTGGGGTTTCTCCTGCTGCTGCGTCTCGCCGGGAGCCCCTCTCTCCACAGGAGCTGCGCGAGTGGTTCGCTCGCCGCTGGAGGCGTGCTGCTGAGTCTGGAGGTGCTGCTGGAGCTGGAGCTGGAGCTTCTTCGACCGTCGAGGGTGCGGGTGCAGCCGGTCCCGGAGCTGCTGGCCCTGCAGGTCCTCCTGGAGCTGGAGCTGCTGAGGGCGTTCGTGCTGAGCCTGCTGCTGTTGGTCCTGCCGCTGGAGGTGTGGGTGGCGCTGGTGCTGTCCCTGCTGAGTCTGGAGCTGCCGCGCGGCCTCGGCCGTACTTCGTTCCGCTCCTTCAGCAGGTTCTTGGTCTTTCTCCTCCAGTAGAGGGTCCACCGCCTGTCCAGTCGCAGCCCCTACTGGAGCCTTCCTCTCCGCTGCCTGCTCCCTCTCCTTACACTGGTCCTACTGGAGGTCTTGCTGAGCGTCGTGAGC